AAACACATAAAAACGATTCATTGAGTCAGACGACGATGAAGTGGGAACACGACATGTAAATCATCTGAAGACGCTGAACAGTCAGTCACAGCCAGGGGGCGCTGTCACACCGTGACAACACCATGTTTAGTCTTAACCTACATATCAGTGAAATGTTCCTCAGACCACAGTCCACAGCAATGCACCAAAATTTAGTCTGACCAAAACATTAGAAGAAGAAGGGAAAGCAGCTGCAGTCTTCACCTCCGACAATATAATGTTTGAACCACAAGGACGTTCATCTGGTGTACTGTAGTACTGTGGTGTAGTGTACTGTAGTACTGTGGTGTAGTGTACTGTAGTACTGTGGTGTAGTGTACTGTAGTACTGTGGTGTACTGTAGTACTGTGGAGATAAATACTGGTTTTAACTGCAGTTTATTCTAATGACGCTCAGATGATGTTCATGTTTTTTATCAGAGCAGCTGCTGATTCAGCCGTCACGGTGTGAAATGCTCAGCATCGTCTGCTGTCATGGTGACCAGCAGCTGTTTCCTCGGTCAGTACCTCCATGCTGGGACAGTCTGCTTTGCTGCGGATCAGAGTTGTCGGGATGTCTGTATCAGTGAACTCATCGTCTAGGTCGACCACGTACGCCATCCTACCGGGCAGGAAGAGCTCGTTTCTCTCAATCAGACCGGTCCTGAACACCACGCGGTAGATGTTCCTACCTGGGGTGGGGGGTGGTGGTGTTACAGACATGATCCACACATGAAACTCAACATGTGACCCGGTGTGATCACACTCACCCAGACGAGTCTTGAACTCGATCTTCTCTTCTGGCTCCACGTCTTTCCTGACAGGTCAGACAGAGGTCAAATGTCAGACAGAGGTCAAATGTCAGACAGAGGTCAAAGGTCAGAAAGACGATGAGGTTGTTTCATACTTTGCCTCTTTCTGGACTTTCTCCATCATGTCTTCTTCTTCTTTCTCTTTACTCGTGATCTCCGCTCTCACCTGCCAATGTTCAATCAACGACACAACATGTGATGTTTTATATTGTGTTATATTATTTGATGTTAGCATCACATGAGAGGGAGTTCAGTTTTGTAACACAGCATTAAATATATTTTCTGTGTCTGACCTTCTGTAGCAGAGCGAAGTCCAGACCTTTTACCAAGTGAGTATGTTCCATGTCACCTCCCAAAAACTTTGACTCCTGGATCAACTGCCGACGTTTCTCTGCCGCTGACTTATCTCTGAAAGAACAAAAAAACAATATCCAGCTAGTTAGCATTAGCAGTACTCACGACTCAGCGGTGGGTCCCACAGCTCTGTAGTTAACTGTGCTGTTAGCATAGTTAGCATTAGCAGTACTCACGCCTCAGCAGTGGGTCCTACAGCTCTGTAGTTAGCGGTGGTGCTGATCAGTTCCGTCTCTTCATAATCTTTGTTAACTCCATCTCGTCTCTCTCTCGCTCGATCTCTGTACTTCTCGGCCAGCTCTCGCTCTCGCTCCATCTCCTGTTGACGTAGCTTAGCATAGTAGCTATAATGAACAACAATACATGATTAATAACATGATCAGCTGGAGGTCTTATTAACAGAGCTCAGTTTGGCCTGACAATGACCTCCTGTAGGTAGCAGGTGTGCGTACGCTCCAACTCAGTAGTGGGAGCGGTGTTCCAATCGACAGCAGGAGGCAGTTATTACAACATCAAAGTTTACTGCAGGAAACATGCAGCAGGTCTAACGCTCGCAGACAAACATGTCCGGTCCACTTAACTCAAGTTCAAACTTAACAGGTGATGCTCTGTGATGGGGAGGAACTTCCTGTGTGTCAGAGAATCCTAAGTGACACTGTGCCTGCTCCACACTCACCTCTTCTTCTTCCTCCTCCTCGCAGCGGGATCCTCATCCTCATTGTAGTCCCTCGGCATTCTGGGAAACAAACAACAGATAACCCAATGAAGACTCAAATGTACCCTCTGACAGCAGACGCGGAGCGTCAGCAGTGTTTTTGTAACTCACTCATGTTGTCGAGACTTGGAGGGCGGGGCTGAGGACGGCGCTGCCCGCGGTGTCATAAGCAACTTCCTGAAGTCATCATTAGTCAATTTGGACCTAAGGAGGAGACACACATAGTTGTCTTCACTATCACACATGCACAGAGCCTGTTCTACGAAGGGAGTTCAACATATCCAGGATCTCTTCAATTATCCAGCTGAACTTAACCAAACAATCACAGTCAGACTAAGTGGTCACATGGCGCTGGTTATCAACTGGTTACGTTAACTCGGGCTTTCCTCTAGATATGAGCTTGTGCACATACAAGGGGCGGGGTTTACTGCATATGACCAATCACAGACATGGACAGTTTGACTGACAGCAGAGCTGAGGATCAAACTGTTATATATAATAAACATCCAGCTGCTAAATACAGGAAGAACAGCTGGAGAAACATCTGGGATTGTGTCAATGTTTTGCTCAGTAAAACACGAGATGTGACGCTCACGTTCAAGACTCAGTGTGAAAGTGAAGATCTGTATTCATGATCTGACACAGTTGATTAAGAACTAAATACATGATCCTAAGTTTGTCGTCCAAATCTTGACCATCCTGTTCACAACTGGTTCCATAATCCCTGAGCCAAATGTCAAAGGAGCCATTTTATTTGTCATGACAGAGCTACCTTAATATTTTGAATGATGAAGTCAGAGGTTTCCCTGTTCAGTTGACAGCTTTAGTTCTCTGAGAATTTCTCTCCTGATGAGAAACATTTGAATCCCATAATGTGGCCTCAAAAACAACCTGACTCTGAGGACACACACTGTGTCTGAGTCTGAATGACTGTGTCTGAGTCTGAATGACTGTGTCTGACTCTGAAGACACAAACTGTCTCTGACTCTGAGTGACTGTCTCTGACTCTGAGTGACTGTGTCTGACTCTGAGTGACTGTGTCTGACTCTGAGTGACTGT